TACACAGAGATGAACAATATGCTAGAAGGAATCAATAGCAGAATAACTGAGGCAGAAGGGTGGATAAGTGACCTGGAGGACAGAATAGTGGAAATCGCCACCTGCCACAGAACAGAATATAGAAAAAAAAGGGGGGGTGGGGGGCAATGAAGACAGTCTAAAAGACCTCTGGGACAATATTAAATGCACTAACATTTGCATTATAGGGGGTCCCAGAAAGAGAAGAGATAAAGGATCTGAGAAAATATTTGAAGAGATAATAGCTGAAAACTTCCCTGATATGGAGAAGGAAACAGTCAATCAAATCCAGGAAGTGCAGTGAGTCCCACGCAGGATAAATACAAGGAGGAATACACCAAGACAGACAGTAATCAAACTAACAAAAATTAAAGACAAAGATAAAACATTAAAAGCAACAAGGGGAAAATGACAACATACAAGGGAACTCCCATAAGGTTATCAGCTGATTTCTGAACAGAAACAGTACACGCCAGAATAGAATGGTATGAGATATTTAAAGCGACGAAAGACAGGAACCCACAACCAAGAACACTCTCTCCAGGAAGGCTCTTGTTCAGATTTGATGAAGACATCAAAAGCTTTCCAGACAAGCAAAAGTTAAGAGAATTCAGCACCAGCAAACCAGCTTTACCAGAAATGCTAAAGGAATTTATTTAGGCAGGAAACACAAAAGAAGGAAAAGACCTACACAAAATGAACCCCAAAACAATTAAGAAAATGGTAATAGGATCATACATACCAATAATTACCTTAAATGTAAATGGATTAAATGCACCAGTCAAAAGACATAGACTGGCTGGGCAGATAAAAACATATGCATATATGCACTTCCACTTACCACATCATCCTACTTAATACCTCAAATTGTATGTAATTATTTTATATTGTTAGTTTAGGCATGTTTCCATTATGGCTTGCAATTATAATTATCTAATATTTTGTCTGACTATTAATTATGAAAACTAATAAACATCTTTCACTATTGTGATTATCTAACTATTATTCATACCATTGTATCATGGTTGGTTAACAGAAAATAATAGAATTCTATATCAACAAAACTACCATTTAGTAGAAAAATCTCTCTTCACTTTTTAAAATTTAGAGGAATATCAGCATTATCTTGGAATTTTCTGAAGACTACAAATGCCCAGGTATTGCTTTTTTCCTCCGAAGCTCCACATGTTTCTTTTTTAAAAAAGCATTTATTTTTTAGTTGAAGGATAATTATTTTACAGAATTTTGTTATTTTCTGTCAAACCTCAACATGAATCAGCCATAGGTGTACATACGTCCCCTCCCTCCCGTCTCCCTCCCCATCCCACCCTCCAGGCTGATACAGTGCCCCTCTTTGAGTTCTTGAGCCACATGGCAATTCCCCCTGGCTGTCTCTTTTACACATGGTGACATAAGTGTCCATGTTACTCTCTCACACAGCTCACCCTCTCCTCCGCTCTGCCTAGGTCCATAAGTCTGTTCTCCACCCACATATGTTTCTAATGAGCAGCCATGTTTAAAAACAACTAGACTATACGATGATCTCTTACTTTTACCTATTTTGATTTTTCCTATTTCATATTCAGTGCTTCTATAACATTTGGTTTATGTTTTCCATCTTTCTTGTTTATGTTCTCTCGAGTCTTTATCAAGTGCAGTAGAGAAGCTTTTGTATACATACACACGTATATAAACACTATGTATAATATATGTATTTTAGAAAACTTATGAATTTTGCCTAGCTAAAACACTTACGACATTTTGATTCTACTTGTTTGATTTAGTTTGGATAGAATGCTAGATATCTAATTTATATTCACTCAAAACTTTGTTATAGTTCCATGTATTTTGGTATCTAGTATTACTGCTAGACATCTAGAAAGTTTATCTTAAATGATTTTCAAAAATTTTTGAATGAGGCTTAAACTTCTAATCCAATTCTGAGAATATAAAGAAATACCATTTGCAAAAAAAAAAAAGGCTAGAAATTAATGTGATAGATTAACTAAAGTACAGATTTTGTTCAAATTTCAAAAAATTTTATGCTAGTGTCCATTATTTGTTTTCATACCTTATCCAAGAGTCCACAATGCATTTAATGCATTGAGCAGCTTCAGCTGTATGCAACAAACTCTGGTAAACTCTCTTTACATTTTCATTCTGTTACAAATATTTTCTATTTCCTCGTGGCATCTTTGACACAGCTATCATTTAAAAGTGGACATAATTTCCAAATACATGGGATTTTAAAAGCATTTTTGATAGTAATTTTTAATTTTGATATTAATTTCTCATTTAAATGGTTTCTTCTCTGCAATCATACTTTGATTTTTCAGTCTTCTAACTTTATTGAGATTTCAATGGCTTAAAGATTTCTCTTGGTAAAAGTCACACTGCACTTGAAAATATGTGGGTTATTTTAAAATATCTTTTGATATTGAGCTCTAACATAATTCCAAGCGATATGAGAACAGATTTTCTGTATGATTTCAATAACATTAGACCATCAAATATTTGTACCTGGTCTTACATCCCTGGATATGTTGCAGTGTCTCCTAGTTTATAGTCTATGGGAACTTGAATAGAATTTGTATCCTACTGTTGTGTGAAAATTGTATACATCTTAATTATGTTTAATTCATTCATAGTCTTTTTGGGTGTACTATATCCTACTTTTCTGTATTTTCATTATATTAATTTTTGAGAGTTTGATATTAAAACTCCAACCAAAAATCTTAATTTATCTGTTTAAAAAATAATTGTAATATATAGTGGAACTATATGTAACTTTGTTCTGTATTTTCCAAGTCTCCTGCTAATTTATTTTCATTAAAAAATAATAAAGTCTTTAAAGAAGTAATTAAGTTAAAAAATGGTCATTAGAGTGGGCCCAAATCTAGCACAACTGATACCCCTATCAGAAGAGATGAAGAACGGACAGGTATTGAGAAAAGACCATGCGAAGACACAGGCAGAGGACGGTCATTCACAAGCAGAGGAGGAAGCCTCAGAAGAAACGAACACTGTGACGTGTTGATTTTGAACTTGTAGCCTCCAGAATTGTGAGAAAATAAATTTCTTTGTTTATGCCACCCGGTCTACAGTGCTTTGTTATTACAGCCCTAGCAAACAAACAGACCCTTTAAATGCCTTTAAAAGCATAAACAAAACAGCGGTGGTTTAGTGTACTATGAGAGACTGTAGCTTTCCTACTAAACATTCCTTCTATGGGGAAATAAGCCTTGACTTATGGAAGCTTTTAATTCTGTGTGCTCTTCAGAAATCCTTGCCTCAAGTAAAATGCCACTGTTCCAAATTCTGGCTGTGTTTCTTTTCTCAGTATTAAGTCAACATGTCATACCTTTTTTACTCATTTTTATTCATTTATCCTCACTCAGCAGAGCTTTTTTGGCATGGTTAAGGGTGTAGACGCTGAAGCCAGTAACTAAATGTATGACTTAGGCAGTTACTTAAAAAGCTAGCGCCACATTTTTTTCTCAGATATGTGTACTGCAGAAAGAATCATGATTGTACCTGCATTAGCACGCTCTGTGAGGACTAACTGAGGTGATACATACAAAGTGTGTAGAGTGGTGTTGGAAATGCAGTCTGTGCAGTTGCGCTAGCAATGGTCACGCTGCCTGATTAGGCTCCAGTCATCTCTTTCAGGAAGCCTTTATGCCCTCCAAGTTCCAGAAAAAAAAAATGAAACCTCAACTCTGAAACTTTGGTGATTCCACTTCCTCTTTATTCCCAGGTTGAATGCTAAATCATCTTGTGTTATCAAAGGTATGATAGAGGTTTGAACTTTGGTTTTTAATAATCTGGATTCAAACATAAATTTTTTTCCATTTACCTATTATACAATTTCAGACAATTGTCTAATTTGTCTGAGTTTCCACATCTAGCACATTACATGACACAGTGATGTTCAGTATTTTTCTAGTAAATATGTATTTAATCTGTGCATCTAGGAGTATAATGTCAACTACCTAACATACTGCAGTATTGCCAAAGCGTGGGACTAGTGAAGGTTCCAAGATAATTTTAGGTGAGACACAGACATGGTACTAAGGACACGGAACCATACAGAAGAAATTCTTCTTTCAATTTTATTTCAACACTGCTGATTATGTCAAGAAGAAAATTCTCACTTTGGTGCTATGTTTTAAAATTCCTTAATGCTTGTTAATTTCCAGTTTTAATCAAGAAAGATTCTGAGCCTTTGTCAGGTAACATCTACTGAAACGTAATCATATTTTTTATTAATTATACTTATTTTTACTTTTAAATTTGTGACAGGTAACAGCGCTTTTTCCACTTACAGAAAATAATACAATTTTTTTTCTTCTTTTAAAAGAAACTCATAAGTGTAAGAGGCAAATTAATTGAAAGAAAAATGTTATGTATATAATAGAGGTGTGAGGATATGGTGAAAATCACTAAAGATAATAAGCAACTTACTGAAGTTTTGGGCAACTAATTTATATGGACTATATTAGGAATAATTGGGCGCAATATATTTCCAGGTGGTTAAATTCTCTAACAAAGAAGAGAGTATAAAATTGTGATGTACAGTTACTGTTTTAATATACAGCAGTCACCTGAATGAACTAGAAAAAATACAATGGTGAACGCAACAGTTGCCGCTTTTTCTCCTGAATATTGCAAAAAAGAGCATGGCGGGGGGGTGGGGGGTGGGCGACACTAGATGTGGTCTTATTATCTCTTATCTTCATCCTTAGCCAGAACTTTCTCCCCTGCAAGGTAAACACTGTTTAATTGGTAACCCAAAGGTCACGAAAACTCCAGGACTTTCAGGATGCAACTTTTTTCCACCTTCACTTCCGGCCCAAATTTTGATACATGGTTATTGTTTAGTTGCTAAGTCATGTCTGACTCTTTTGCGAACCCATAGACTGTAGCCCACCAGGCTCCTCTGTCCCACGGATTTCCCAGGTAAGAATAATGTAGTGGGTTACCATTTCCTTCTCTGGGGAAGCTTCCCAACACAGGGATGGACCACGCCTCCCATTCATTAGCAGGCAGATTCTTCTCCAATGAGCCAGCAGGGAAGCCCTAGGATGTATTATTGCTATCAACTTTACTGCCCGTTTCCATTTAAATGCACTTCAACATTGGCGATGTTGCAGGCAACATGGAGAATGCAGCGGTAATTTTAAAAATTACTCTAGAATTTTGCCATTTGGCAGTTGGTTAAAAACCAACCTCCTGGTAAGAGGACAAATCGCGCCCCGCTAAACCTTCGCTCTCGCGGTTTTCTGCCAGCTTCGCGCTGACGTATGCAGACGTCACGACGTACTGCCGTAATGCGTCGTGCAAACGTCGGCGAGCGGCGCTGTTCTCGGTCGTCTGGCCGCAGCAGCTAGATGTGGGGAGTTTCTTCCTCACGTTTTTTCCGCCGCTGGCCGAAGTGTGTTTGAATCCTGTCTGCCAGCTTTTAGCGGGGGCCAGTTTTGAAGAAAACGGAGCCCGGGGTGATGGCGCCGTTGCGTCCCGGGGCCTTCTTCTGACGCCTCGGTTGCGCAGGGGAATGTGGACGCTTGCAGGGCAGGGTTGGTGGCGCGGGCGCGCGCTCGCGGCCTGGGTCACCGAGGCGGCGCGTTTGGGGCTCCTCGGGCCGCACCTCGCGTCCAGGGCTCCGGACCGGTGGTACAGCTCTGCAGACCGCAAGGTGGCCGCCTTGAGTCTCTTGTCATTCACTGTTACACCGAGGGAGGGTGCTTCTGGTGAATTTGCCGGGGCTTCTTAGCACTGACTACTTGTGAACGCAGGATGCACTGCTGTGAGGGAGGCAGGGCTCGGAGCGCGGGGCTGCGCTTCGGCCGCGGACTCCAGGGCTCACCAGCGTGACCTTGGACAAGTCGTGTCCTCACTTTCCTCACTGGTAATATCAGGATCTTTGTTTATGCGAAGGACTGTTCTCAGCGTGTATTTAGTTTTAAAAGCGTATTGAGAAAGCTGCTAGTTCCATTTTCTTGCGACTTTTTAGCCACGTGACCTAGGCAAGTTACCTGACCTTTCTCTGTTTCTTCATTTGTTGAATGAGATGCTTATAAAAAAAACATTGAGTGGCTGTGAGACTTGCGCGAAGTGAGGCACAGAGCTTTTAGTTTAATACCTAGAATCTGAGAAGTGCTGGGTATGCCTTAGCTCCTTTGATTATTTCGTCTTACCTCAGCTACAGCAGACGCGTGCTCCTTCTGTCCCTGTGGTTGGAGCAGCTGAGGCTTTTTGCTCCTCAGTCGCGACCGACTCTGCGGTCCCATGGACTGTAGCCCGCCAGCTTTTCTGTCCACAGAATTTTCCTGGCAAGAATCCTGGAGTGGGTTGCCGTTTCTTACTCCATGGGATCTTGCTGAACAAGGCATGGAAACCGCGTTTCTTGTGTCTCACACTGGCAGGCGGCTTCTTTACCACTGGCGCCACCTGGGAAGCTTCAGCGACCCTAAAACTATACTTTGTTATAACTGTGAAGAGAAACAGTTTAGGCAGTAAAATAAAGTACTTGAATGAAAGTTATGAGTAACTGGAGAAAGAAAAAGAATATAATTATTCAGTTTTACTCTTTTCTAAAATGCCTGTGGAATGGATTTATGTTGCAATTGTAAGACTAAAAATGGTGCAGTACCTTTTGAATGATGGGTGGAAAAATCACAGGGCAGACAATTCAGCTTTAGATTTTTGCAGAATATCTTTCAGGTATAGTTGCACTTGTATTGAAGCGCTTACTGGAAAAAAAAAGGAAACAACCTCATGAAAATTTTGTATTTCGTTGTAATTTCACTTTTTGGGGCTCATTATGAGATATAAATTTGATTAGAAAAATGAAACGTTCAGGGTCCAAAAAAATGACATATTCTATGTGCAACTGAAAATCATAAATTAACTTTTTAAAGTATTTTAAAAATTTAAGTGAAAAATGAGCCTTTTTTTCTTGATAATATAATTTTTTCCCCACTCTCTCTCCAGAGAAGTTGTTAAGTAACAAAGTCATCTAAATTAAACTTTTGAAGGCTCTATTAGGAGCACAAATTTTTAAGTAGACCTGACTCTGTTCATTAAATATGTGATGGGGGCAAAAAAGTCTTCTTTTCTTTCAGCTTCTCTGTAGCTTTTTTTATTTCAAGAAATTTTGTTACACCAGGTACTCTAAGGCTGTAGAGAAGTTGTAAGTATCTTGTGTTCTCCATTTGTGAAAATACATTCAGCTCCTCAGTGGCCTTTGAAATGGTGGAAATATTATAAGGGACTTTTATTTAGCCATATGGTCTGTATATGGTCATATAATCTTTGACATTGAAACTAATGTATTTGATGGGCCCTGTTGTAATCCATTGCTTGTAATATGACTTTAACCATACATCTCTTTACTGTCAGAGAAATAATATAAACAGTATGAATGCTGTAAATAAAGTTGTTTTAAGAAGACTGAAAGTATTCTTTAGTGTACTTGTTTCATGTTGTAGACAATTTATGCTCATAAATATAATATTTCCCTCTCCTTTTCTAGGAAAAAATTGATCTGTCTTGTTTTCCTGTTGAAAACACTAGAAATTTCAGTATCGTTGCACATGTGGATCATGGCAAAAGTACTTTAGCAGACAGGCTCCTGGAACTAACAGGTATTTTCGTTTTATAGTCTACACCTAATTAATGGCAGTGAGTAATTGATAATTACTTTTACTAGCATACTTTTACGATGCTTTTTAAATTTTTGGTTTTAAGTTTATATGCAGTATTGTCTATTTTTAAAAGCTTATAGAAATATCAATACACATTTCTATTTTTAGGGGCAATTGATAAAACAAAAAATAATAAACAAGTTCTTGATAAATTGCAAGTGGAACGAGAAAGAGGAATCACTGTTAAAGCACAGACGGCATCTCTCTTCTGTAACTATGAAGGAAAGCGGTATCTTTTAAATCTTATCGATACGCCGGTGAGTTTTATTAGCAGTTTTGTCTCTGTTGTTAGAGTCAGCTTTGTATTAATAGTGCAAGCAAATCCTTTTTCTCAGTTTTTAAACTGAACATTAAACACTTCACTTTGCTTTTTTTCCCTCAGTGTTCTTAGATTAGTGAAATTATTTCACAAGATCAGGCTAAAAAGAAGCTTTAATAACTTTTTATTCAGTGGAGTCAGTAGATTTGCCAAAATGCCTCTCCCTAAGAAACATTTAAACTCTTAACATTAGAGGTTTTAATATTTTTTGTTTCTCAGGGTCATGTTGATTTTAGTTATGAAGTATCCAGGTCACTCTCTGCTTGCCAAGGTGTTTTACTTGTGGTTGATGCAAATGAGGTAGGTACATTTAATTTTATATGATGTGATATGCTATTTCACTGTTCCAAGATTTTTCTTAAGATGTTTGGAAATAGAATTTTTGTGTTTGAAGAAAGTAAGAATCATTTTATTATTTAACCAAAATTATGTTTTGGTCCTGTTAATTTTAAGTTTTATTATGCTAAAATGGCCTGTGAAATTGCCTAATTCATCCTTTAAAATTTTTAAGCTGATCAGAGGAATCGTTCAGGACATTTTTGAAGTATGTCATATATACATCCTACCAAAAAAAAAAAGGAAAACCCACTTTTAAGCACTTCTTAATCTGTGGTTTCAGTTTTTAGCAGAACTAGAAAATCTATCTTTGAGGTCATTTTGGGTGTTTTTAAGGTAATAATTTGAGAAGTGTTACATTTAAAGAAAGAACGTCAATAACATTTCCAAGTTCTCTGTTGTGAACATAACCATAAAAAACATACTGAGATGAAAGTATAAGAGCCATGACATACTATTTATAGTAAGCTTTTGACATACTTCAGTTTTCATGGACTTTTCATTCAAAACCCCAAGATTTTGTTGTTGTGTTAAATCCTCCCTCATCCTGTCAAGGACAGTCTCCACCTTAACGTAGTATACTCGGCTTATAAAAGGCGTCTCAGTCCTTTAGGAGGCTTCGAGGCCTCCTAAGGACCCATGTATTACTGCTTTGTTTCCAAAGCTTGACACAGCACCCTCTACAAGAGGGTTCTAGAACCGAAAGGAATTTTCACAGGGAATGATCCAGGTGCTCGGAAGTGTAGACACCAGAGTTTGCCTTGTGTCTTTGCTTTTGATGAAGAAGTGTGGAATGGTCTTGAATTTCAGCTTTGTGGTAGATAATAGGATGATTATCTTAGTGTCCTGTGTGTTCTTGTCTGCTTTTCTTCATAGGGTATTCAAGCCCAAACAGTAGCGAACTTCTTTCTTGCCTTTGAAGCACAGCTATCAATAATTCCAGTTATAAACAAGGTAATTTGTTAGCACAGCAGTGCTATTTATTATTTTACTTTCTAAAGGTAAATTTAGTGTTTGAATATCACTTGTGCTATTTTTTATATGAGGAATCTTCAGGTATTTATAATGGAATTGACTATTGAACATCATGGAGGTTAAGGAGGCAAAACCCCTGTGCACTCAAAAATCTGCATGTAACTTCTGACTTCACACAGACTTAACTACTAGTATCCTCTTATTGACTAAAATCTTAGCAATAACTTAAACAGTCTGTTAACACATACTTTGTATATTATATGTATTGTATATCATGTTCTTACAGTAACAGAAAATGCTAATCAAATCATAAAGAGGAGAAAATGCATTTACAGTGCTCTGTTTATCAATACCCTGAGTTTACATCATCTTTTATAAAGTGAATCATCTCTCAGTACTTACATCAGTGTTGTCTTATGTAATAACAAAACACCATAGATGTTATATGTATTACTGACACTAAATGTCGACAATTAAAAGATAATGTGAAAAGGAACTTCACATTTATTTACAGGTAAATGATTGATGCATTGATAACGATGAAGTAGAAGTATTATGCTATGACATCATGTGATTGCTTCATGGTAACCTAGAATATACACTAAGGAAAGATTCATTAAAGTTTGTATAGTAAACAATATTATAGTCACATTCTCAACTGGAACAACATTGTTGCAGTAAAAAAATGTTTATCTGTAATTAT